TTTTTTCCTGATGTGGGGAGGGGTGGGAAGGGTCATAGAATAATTGTCTGAATGACAATAAATTGGGGGACCTGTGGAGATGGCCTGGTCCAACATCTGCTCCAGCAGGCTCCCCTAGAGCAGGTTGTCCAGGACCATGTCCTCTTGAGGTCTGGGAATTCAATGGTGGCCACAGGGACCCACAGGTTGCCACAGGAATCTCACAAGTGGCCATGGGGACCTCACCTGTGGCGATGAAGACATCACCAGTGGCCAAAGGTACCCACAGGTTGCCACAGGGTCCTCACCAGAGGTGTCAGGGACCTCGCTCATGGCCACTGGGACCTCAGTGGTGACCATGGGACCCACTGGTGCCCACAGGAACCTCACTGGTGCCCATGGTCACATCCCTAGTGGCCAGAGGGACCTCATTGGTGGCCACAAGGACCCCAGGTTGCCACAAAGACATCACTGGAGGCCACGGGGACCTCACTGGTGGCCACAGGGGTCCAAAGATGCCCACAGGGACGTCGCTTGTGGCCACTGGGACCACACTGATGGCCATGGGGAGCTGGATAGTGGCCATGGAGACAGAACTGGTGGCCACAGGAACCTCGCTGGTGGCCACAGGGACCTTGATGCTGGCAACAAGGACATCACTGGGCGCCACTGGGATCTTGCTTAGTGGCCACGGAGACATCACTGGTGGACATGGTCACCTCACTGTTGGCCACAGGGACCTCACTGGTGGCAAATGTGACCTCGCTGGTGGCCACAGGGACCCACGAGTTGCCACAGGGATCTCACTGGTGCCATGCTTGTGGCCACGGGGTCACATGGTTTGTCTGGTTGTCTGGAAGGGGCTTATAATAATTCTGAGAGTGCTATTAAGATGCAAACGAGGTCAGATGCCCTTTACTGTAGCTTTGCTGTTGTTAACTAAAAATGAGGCTAAATGGCAATAGAGAAAAGGCAGAGGGATAGGAAAGGCAGAAAAGAGAAGCAGAGGCAGGGTTATGGAGCACAGCAAGAAGTAGCAATTACCACCACTGATCAAACCCGCACGACAGCTTGACAGTCCTCTGGAGTTCAACAGCATCCCATTGATCCATGATTCTCAGGTCGTACAGATGGCGAGGGCTGACAGTGGTAAAGGTTCCGTTTGCAGTGGGTGGAACAGTAATTTATAGCCCCTGTTGGCCTGTAGTTTGACCAACCAATGTGACAGTTACCTGTGCTTCTCCAGTCACTGTCCGACATGGTCACTGCAGGAGCCCTCCTCACCTCTGCCACCCAGACAGCACTGGGCACTGCACAGCAGAGGAGTTCCTTAGGGTAAACAGAACACACTCACTAATATGCATAGAGCTCATTAATATTCATGATGAGTCATTAATAACCCGGGGGGAGGGGATTAAGACCCCCTGGGGTTGTTAATTGCCCTCCCCAGGGTAAGAGTGGCGCTTTAGGGACTGAATCCCACCTCTCAGGGTGTAATTAATGGCCATCGGTGGTAATCAATGCCCTAGGGGGGGTAACTAATTGGCCCACATGTTAGTTAATATTCGGGGGGGTAATGAAGCCACCTGGGGTCAGTAATTGGCTCCCCCCAGGAAGGTAACTGGCACTTTATGGGGTTAAATTCCATCCGAAGGAGGGTAATTAATTTCCCTAAGGGGTAATTAATAGCCCACGGGATGGTAATTAATTACTCCAGGTATAATTACTATTATTGGGGTAATTAATTGCTGCTCCAGGGGAGGAATCAGCACTCTATGGCAATAAATCTCAGCGGGGGTTAATTAATTGTCCTTGGGAGGAATTAAGGGCACTGGGGATGATTATTAATTACCCCAGGATTTAATTAATATTTTATGGGAGTCATTAGTTGGCACTTTGGGGAGGCAAATGCCACCCTGGGCAGGCCATTAATTCCCCTGGAAGATAAATAAACCCTGTGGAGAGAGCAATTAATAACTCTGGGTTAATTAGGCTTATGGAAGGGTTAATTAATCCCTCCTGAAGTAATTAAGTGCTGTCCTGGTGAGTAATTGCCACTTTATGGAGGTAAATGTCACCTTGTGGGGGTAATTAGCCCCCCCCCCCCCCGGATTAATTAACGAGTCTACAGGGTTAACTAATGACCATGGGGGGTAATTAATTGCTTTGGAGGTTAATTACCCACCCCCAGATCCTCCCTCCCCAGTGCCCCACATCTGGACTGAAAGCATAGTGTGGGGCCAGGAGGGAGTGACATCAGCAATAACATCACTCGTGATGTCACGTGTGAGGTCACCCTCCACCCACCCACGTGTGATGTCACCACCCTTTGTGAAGTCATGTGTGATGTCACAGTGCCCTCTTCTCTCCCTTTCCCCCAACCCTAGGATGTGTGGCCTTCTCTGCAATAACCCCACTGGGGGCATGGCCTGGGACCAATGGCGCGTGGCCTAATAAAGGGGGCAAGGCCTGCAATTCTGCACTAACCCCACCGGGGGCTGCTGGGGGCGTGGCCTATGGAGAAGGAGGCGTGGCCGGGGCTGGCTCCCAGCAATGACCCACCGGGGGCTGCTGGGGAGAGTGGTCTATGGGGAAGGGGGCGGGGCCTGGGCTGGCTCCCAGCGCTAACCCCATTGGGGGCTGTGTGGCCTGGGCTGGGGGGTGAGGTCTGGGCTAGAGGGCGGGGCCATGAGCTCCCTCCGCTTGCACTGGGAGTGGGCGGGGCTTGAGGAGCACGTATCCCCTTTATTCTCCTCTCCTCTCCCCACCCCCAGAATAGCGGCGGCGGCCATGACACGTGTCTCCCGCTCCAGCACCACCTCCCTATCCAGCTCTGCCTCCAGGGAGGGCGAGAGGGGGCGGAGGCATACTCTCTCCTGCGGCTGCCTGAAAGGAGGGGGGAGGCCCGCCCCCTGAGGGACAGGACCCCTCTTTTAGGGGGAGATACCCATGGGGCTCATGGGTATCCCCCCATAAGAAGCCCCCCAAAACTGCCCCAAGAGCCCCCAAAATCCTCCAAGGACACCCCAACATCCCCCTGGGATGCTCCAAGCCCCCCCAGGACTCCCCAAAATCTCACTGAGATGCCCCAAAACTGCCTTGGGATGCTCCAATTCCCCCATTGGATTCCCCCCAAAACACCCTTGTATGCTCCAAGTCCACTCAGGACGCCCCAAAATTCTCCCGGGACCCCCTGAACACCCCCAGCCTCCTCCTGGGACCTCCACCCTCCCCCACCCCGGGATCCCAAAAACCCTCTTGGGGTCCCCCAGCCTCCCCAGAACCATCAACACCCCTCTCCAGGACTCCCTCAAATCCCCCTCCTAACCCCTAGGACCATCCAAAACTGCCCTAGGACTCCCCCAGAATACTCTCAGGATCCCCACACCCCCAATACACCCTGGGATGCCCCAACCTCACCCCCCCTCGACCCCCAAAGTACCCCCTAAGGACTCCACAAAATCCCCTGAGATCCCCCAAACTTC